GTTTGGTCAAACAGACATTTTTCTAGCTTGCAATAAAGACCATTAGCAAGAAGGGTCTTCAAAACTGTCATAACATGTCTGTGATGAGTGTGTATATCTGTAGAATATATTAAAATGTCGTCCAAGTATACGATAACAAATGTGTGAATAAAATCTCTTAAGACATCATTAATAAATTCTTGGAATACTGCTGGGGCATTGCAAAGTCCAAATGGCATAACAGTATATTCGTAATGACCGGATCTGGGTGTTGAATGCAGTCTTCCATTCGTGATTTTCCTTTATACGTATCAAATTGTATGCACTCCTAAGGTCTAATTTAGTGAACACAGTGGCATGTTTCAGCCTGTCAAATAATTCTGTAATTAAAGGTATAGGGTATGCATTTTTGATAGTGATTTTGTTTAGACCTCTATAATCTATACACAGTCTTAAATCACCTTCTTTCTTCGATACAAAGAAGAACCCTGCTCCAGCTGGAGAAGAGGATCTCCTAATAAACCCCTTTTCTAGTGATTCCTTAATATACTCCTCCATGACACGGTTTTCTTGAACCTTGGAGGTATAGTGCCAGGCAACAAGTCAATAGCGCAATCATAGGGTCTGTGAGGCGGTAATTTCTCAGCCGCCCTTTTATCGAAAACAGTCTTTAGAGATAAATACTGAGGGGGTATAACCGTAGACAAAGGAGGACTGGTAGGTACCTCAATAGAATTCAAAGGTGTGACTTCCAACGTACAAGACTCGTGGCAGGCCTCACTCCATGATTTTATTTGCCCTGTCTCCCAGTCAAAAATGGGATTGTGAGCACGTAACCATGGATACCCTAATACTAACTGTGAAGAGGGAGAGGTGATGACCTGGAATCGAATGGTTTCATAGTGTAAAACCCCTGTGTACATGTGTAATGGTACAGTCTCATGAGTAACAACTGGAGAACTTAATGGTCTACCATCTATGGCCTCAACGGCCAAGGGTATCTCCTTCTCTCTGATGGGAATGTTGTTTCTCTTTATAAAGCCAGAGTCTATAAAATTTTCAGCTGCCCCAGAGTCAACCAGAGCATATATGTTGTCAACTATACAAATCTCTCCCATATATAAAGAAACCGGGAGAAGCAAGCGGTTAGGAGGCAATTTAGGAGACTTAGATATCACACCCAAGGCCAGTCCCCTATAAGGTCTTAGGTGCGAGAGTTTTCCGGGAGTAAAGGACATTCCTTTACCATATGGTCTCCTACCACAGTATAGGCAGAGTCCCTCCCTTCTCCTATGTAATTTCTCAGTATCAGAGAGTTTGGCAACCCCTAATTGCATAGGTTCCTCCTCAGACACTTTAACACTCTCTGGTATATTAACTCTGGGGTTAATGGGTGTAACAAAACGTCTATTCCTGTTCTTGGTATAGAGCCTGTCACGAATTCTATTATCTATATCAATGAGGTAATCGATAAGGTCCTCTAAGGCAATAGGAAGCTCCTTAGCTGCTACCTCATCCAATATCGTATCTGACAAACCTTCCATAAAGGCAGTAGTTAACCCATTGTTGGTCCAATCTACCTGCGAAGCAAGAGTGCGAAACTGAATAGCATAATCAGCCACAGACCTAGAACCCTGTTTAATTCTCATTAATGCTCTCGCGGCATTCTTTGACCTTTTCATTGTGTCAAAAGTTCTACGAAAAGCCGTAAGAAAACTGTTGAAATCATGTACCATAGGTCCATTAGCTTCCCAAATAGGATTTGCCCACTCAAGTGCCTTATCGGTAAGTTGGTGCATAAAGAACCCAACCTTAGACCTCTCTGTGGGAAATGAACGTGGATACATTTCGAAGTGAAATTCAATTTGATTAATAAACCCCCTGCAAGTCTTAGAGTCCCCTCCATACCTAGGAGGAGGTGTTAAATGGGCCGAAGTATTAGGCAAAGTAGATACTTCAGGGAGAAGGGGCGTAGGAGGGTTAGGTGTGGTTGCTGGAACGGTTCTAGCTAGGAGCGTCTGGAGAGCCTGAGCTATCTGATCCATACGGTGATCCTGCTCTACAAATCTTGCCTCATGGACGCCATCTGTTGAGCTAAATCTGCGGGGTCCATGGCCCTATCGTAATGTAACGAGAATATACCCCTACACGCAGGATCCAGCTAAACAGAGGCAAATACAGAGGAGAGATACGTCTACCGGACCTTAGAATGGCCGGACTCGACGTATATGAGAGGAGACAGAGCCAGGAACAAACCGAGGTCAAGGGCACAGAGAGACAGCGTAAACTAGGACAAGCCGGGGTCTGGTACACGGAAAACAGCAAGCCGGCAAACAGTACAGATAAGGATAAAGCGAAAACGAAGTCAGAATACGAAGCCAAAGTCAATACGAGAAAACACAACTGAACACCACAAGCGCTAAAGGGAACTGAAACAGAAACCACGATAGGGCAACGAGCTAAGGGAAAAAGGTAAGTTTAAATAGCTTTAAAACGAAAGTGATTGGCTCCTGTCACTTCCACACCCCCTATAGGTAATTGTACAGGGAGTGTGGTATGACAGGAGCCAATGGGAGCCTTTTGGCAATTAGGCTCCCACTGTCTCTTTAAGAGCGCGCCCGAGACTCGCGGCGCGCTCTTAGTTTCAGGCGGGACACGTGACCGCTTCACGCGGTCACTGCCCGCCTTCCATCCAAAGCAGTCGGATGAGCCGCGCGCGGCTCGTGCAGCCGCAGGATCGCGCGCGGCTTGAAGAGAGGACCGCGACCGGCCCCCGGTTAAGGTAAGTAACGCTACAGTGTCGCCGTTTAGGCTGCTTTTGTGGCTGGAAAAAAGGCATCTATTGGTGCAGCTCGGGCAGTAGATTCCGATTTTGCAGGTTTTTAGGTTGGATTGACCCCTGGTTTGCTGATGTCAGGCGGATTTGAAGTTTGCTCGGAGGAGCTCAAGAAAATGGGGTCTGGCTAGGTCTGCAAGCAGGCTCCGCCCCCTCCTTCAACCATAATTTACCTCTTTCATATTAATGGAATACTATAGTGTCAGGAATGACACTATAGTTCTAATTGTGCCGTTTAGGTCTCTGGCTCCCCTTGTCCCAGGTTAAAAAGGCATATTACTCACCCTATTTCCAGCACCGCCTGGGTCTCGTCATGGATGGCTTCGCGCCCCACTCTACAAACTTGATGATCTCAGCCAATACAGTGCTTTCCCAAAAGAAAACATGCTGGAATAGAAAAGGGCTTACCCCAAATTGTTCCCAGAAAGTTGGAAGCCTCACATTGTTCAAAATGTCTTGGTATGCTGAAGCATTAAAATTTCCATCGGAAGAAAGGGGACTAGCCCAACCTCTTAAAATCAGACCTATACGAGTATCACTCCTCCACCACAATGCTATCAGGCAGGTAATGTTCACCTGGAATCCGCCAAACCCAGACTCGCCCATCAGACTGCCAAACAGAGAAGCGTGATTTATCACTCCACAAAACACGTTTCCACTGCTCCAGAGTCCAGTGGTGATGTGCTTTACGTCACTCAATCCAGCAGTTGGCATTGTACTTGATAATGTGAGACCATGGAAACCCATGAGTGTTGGAGACTTTTATATGCCATGTACCTCAGCATGGGTTGACCCTGCCCTGTGACTTTATGTGGTGTTTTGGTTTATGGCTTCAATTTTTAATCAATACCACTTTCCAATAATACCTCTAAGTTAACTGTGGAATGCCTAGCATGGATGAAATTTCACAAGTACCATACTTAAATTCACTGAGCTCTACAGAACAACCAATTTT